TTAGAACATAGCTAGCAGAGTCGCGCAATTAAATTCATTATACGTGAGCGTGCTCAAAATCCCGATAGTGCACGCTGATAGCGTCAGCAAATCCGACTTCGCCAGAACTTTTTTTTTCGCGCGAGCGGCCATTGTTAGCGCGGGGAAAAATAATATATTTCGCGACAATAATGGATACAAACAGAAACTCGGCCTACTAGTCCGAAAACGAAGACAATGTTTCGACCTTTTCCCTTGGGCTAGAGCTCTTAAATGAGGCAGAAAGAGAGAAAAACAAAGGAAAAGGAGACTCGGAAACAGCGCCGTCACGATTCGCTTCAACTGATATTGTTGTCCGTTTTTCGCGTCGGATTTGATGCACAATTCCACCGGCTATGTTCTAAAACAATTGGTTCATGCTTTCAGCTGTGCACTATCGAGTTATGGAGCACGCGGGAAGTTTGGAGAGCACGAAAGAAGCGTAAGAGTTGCCCGAGGCGATAGCCGAGGGAAACTCTAGCTTCTTGAGTGCTCTCCAAACTTCCCACGTGCTCCATAACTCGATAGTGCACAGCTGAAAGCATGAACCAATTGTTTTAGAACATAGCCGGTGGAATTGTGCATCAAATCCGACGCGAAAAACGGACAACAATATCAGTTGAAGCGAATCGTGACGGCGCTGTTTCCGAGTCTCCTTTTCCTTTGTTTTTCTCTCTTTCTGCCTCATTTAAGAGCTCTAGCCCAAGGGAAAAGGTCGAAACATTGTCTTCGTTTTCGGACTAATAGGCCGAGTTTCTGTTTGTATCCACTATTGTCGCGAAATATATTATTTTTCCCCGCGCTAACAATGGCCGCTTGCGCGAAAAAAAAAGTTTTGGCGAAGTCGGATTTGCTGACGCTATCAGCGTGCACTATCAGGATTTTGAGCACGCTCACGTATAATGACTTTAATTGCGCGACTCTGCTAGCTATGTTCTAATTTACGTTTTCAGGCGAAAGGAGACAATCGTGAGGCGGGCACGAAGTGCGAGTCGTCACGCGTGGGGGGAGGAGCGCCAAAAAACTCGCGCCTGTGCTCACGCTATTATTCAAGCTCTTACGCCCCCAGACACACCTCCGATCACCATATTATAACAGCGCTCAAAAAAAAAATGGGGGATGACCTTTTTTGCAAGCCGCACTTGGGGCCAATATGAGAACGACCACCGGTGAGATCGTCCCACGGTTCAACAATGACTGAGATGTAGGATATGGATGACAAATCATAGTAAAACTCCCAACAGGACATATGCCACCCGCTAAACATAAGGAAAATACTTGTAGATTCTACTCTGAATTCGCTCGAATAAGATTGGTACGAGTGTGGTCGCGGTGTACCGTGGAAAACTCTTGCATATCAAATGTTTGGCATGTCAAGGAAAAATGTGGTATCACATAACGAAGGTCTACCAAGGCAGCCCTACTAATCACGTGGGCATTTATTAAGTAACAAATAATATCCCTATCACGAGACATTTGTAATCCCCTAATTTGATTTTAAGTTCAAGTATTTCTATCAAAATCAATCAGCGAACTTGTACCATCTTCTATACTTTTGACGTAGGTTATATGTCGCTAGTCTACGTGTGGTAAGATTTACCAGATGGTTGTCCAGCGTTTAAGGTAAATAATCTCCGAAAAGCGGTTGGGTGAGGTGGAACCTCACTATGTGAGCTCCTGCAACTCAACGCCAGTTTCCTCGCAGGAACCGAGTTTTTGCGTCGTGAATTACGCAACTTTGAATCTATTTGCCATGTCTGGTGACCTGCTCTGTAGAGAAACGCACTCGAAATGATGAGCTGATAGAAATGCATCTCGTTGTATTGTATTTTATTACACGACACGGGCAGTCAGAGGGCCAATAATTAAAAACAACCAGTCAAAATGCTCTATTGCCGGTCCAATATTCTCTAAGTATTGGACCGAGCACTGTCCCGAATGGTCCCGAATGATACCGCACTTGTGTCCCTTTGAACTTCGGTCGTATCATTGATCTCTTATTAACCAAGCTTGCTCGGGACCGTACTGGAAGAATATCGGCCCTTGGTCTTTTTTGTACGGACCTCGCTGCGCTCGGTCCGTGCTGTCAAAACCCCGGGCCGATATTCTCCCAGTACGGTCCTCGCGCTTGGTTAATAAGATATATGTATTGTATTGTTGTATTGTATTGCAGATACTGAATGTGTTTGCTCGAGGAAAATATATACCGTGCCGTGCAATGATCGCCCTTGATTTTTTTCGGCGGGAAAATTAGAGACGGCAGGGACTGC